CCAACTCTGAGGCTAAGACCAGACTATTCATAATTTTGATAACATATTTGACCCCAAGATGAACATCCAATCCCCTATCCTCCCCATAACCGGGACTGTCTACTTCCATTTTCTATACTTGCCCCATCTTCAACCCTGCTTCAACTCATTTGGTGCTGAAACCCTCTGGCTTTGTTACCTCTAAACTTAACTATTGCAATATTGTCCAGGTAAGTCTCCCACCCTCTGGAAACTTTTTGTAGAACTACAGAATCATATGATCATGCAGTACAACAGGAGGCCAGTCAACCTATTAAGTGCATATCACCTCTTCCAGAGAGTTAATCCCACTTCTGTGTTCTTTCCTTTCTTACTTGTCACTTTTATCCTGTAATTGTCAACACTTCAACCACTGAAATAGTTTGTTTTTATTTACTCAATCTAAACTTTGAATCATTTAAAATTGTTACCTAGTCTCCTCTAGGTTTTCTCTACTTTAAGAAGAACAGTTTCAGCTTCTCCAGTCTAACTAACTGTAACCCCTCATCACTGGAACTATTTTTGTTAATCTCTTCTATACTCTGTCCAAAGTTTTCCAAACATTTTTTGAAGTGAGCAGGAAACAAAAACAACACTGACTGTGCACTCCAGCTGGGCTGAACTAGTTTTGGATAGGATTAGCGCAAATCCTTTCTTTTGTACTCTATCCCTCAATTTATAAAGCTTTACATCCCATATGCTTTAATGGTTTCATAAGTTGTCCTGTTATGTTCAAAGACTTGTGCATAAACACCCTCAAATGTCTCTGTTCTTGCACTGCTTTTACAATTAATCATTTCCTGTCTCTTTTCATTTTTCCCATCAAAATGTTTCATCTGAATGTGCATCAACTTTTCTGTGCTATGAGTAAGCCTATTCCATGATGCTCCCCACATCCTCTAAGATTATTACTATTTTCCTCATTGTTTATTATACTTCATAGCATGGCATTTGCAAATACTCAAATTGTTACCTGCACCCACAAGTCCAAGTTTTGAATGTGTATCGATAATAATATCAATATCAGTGGTCCAAATAATGAAACTTTAAAAACTTGGCTTCTCATTCAATAAATAGATTTTCATTTTCATCACAGAATTGTTGCAGCCTGGAAGGATGCCATGCAGCCCATTGTGTCTGCTCCGGCTGTCTGAGTATTTCAAAGAGTATAATTCTCCTGCCTTTTCCTCATTATTCCACACAATCCTTTTTCCCAAATAACAGTCAAATTCTCTTTTGAATGCCTCAGTTGGACCTACCTCCAGTCATAGGCAGAGCATTCCAGTCTCTAGTCCCTTGCTGCACGGAAAAGTTTTTCCTCGTATCACTTTGCTTCTTTTATCTGCATCAACCCCATTACCCCGTGGGTTAGTTACATGTAATCTTTCCATAAGGAATCTATGTTTAATTAACTTGCTTTTGTTCATGTGACTATCAATCTTGTGCCAAATTATTATGTCTAGAAGTTTTCCTACCACTAAAGTTAGACTGATTGGTCTGTAGTTGCTTGGCTTATCTCCATACCTTTTTTTTGAACAAGGGTGTAACATCTGCAATTCTCTAGTTCTCTGGCACCATTCCTGAGTCTCAGGTAGACTCAAAAATTATTGTTAGTGCCTCTGCAATTTCCATTCTAATTTTCCTCAATATCCTGAAATCCATCTCATCCAGTTCCTTGTCATCTTAAAGTATGGACAGTTTATCCAGTATCTCCTCAATATCAATTTTAAACCCTTTTAGCAATTGAATTTCCTTCTGTTTCGCTATAGCTGGTAACGTCTTCCTCCTAGGTAAAGATCAAGGCAAACATTAATTTAATACTTCAGCCATGCCCTTCTGTGTAAATCCCCTTTTGGTCCCTACTCTGCTCCCATTCTCCTTTTAACACTCTCTCACTATTTATATGCATATAGAATACCTTGGAATTCCCTTTTTACATGTGCCACCCGACTTTTCGGTTAGCTTAGTTAGCTGGATGGCTGGTTTGCAATGCAGAGTGAAGCCAACAGTGTCACTTCATTCCTGCACTGGTTTATCTTTCTCCCATTTTTTGAGCAAGGGAATAACATTGACAATCCTACAGTCCTTTGGCATGACTCCTGTATCTAAGGGGGATTGGAACTGAAGAGTTGGAAGACTTATTTGACTGAGACCTGTAGTATAATGAACATCTGAACAGTTTGTTATATTGTCCTCTTTGCTGCAACTTCTGCTGAAGGGGTGTAAATAAAGTAGTTAAATAATGACTGCCTGTAGCTGAGTATCTGTTAATTTTTCTTTGTGCAAAATACAACAACAAAATTACAATAAGGCTGGGATGGCATTTTCTGTTACATGCCATTTGAGAAATTAAGGGCTGACGAACGTTGTGACACAAGTTTGGATCACCTAAAGTGATTTTGAGGATGTTTGAGCAATAAAAATTGTTTTGCATACATGTCAAGTTCAGGAAAGAGGAGATTTGACAAAGGGAGAGCAAGTTTAATATCCTATAGTTCAAATTTCTCCTGAAGTGAAAGTTAAAAAGAAAATAAAGCTTGGTAGTGTTATCCAAACCATTAGGTGAACAAGGTGAATCAGGGTAATTGGTTAAGACAAATCAATGTTACCGTCCCAACTATTAAGTGGAGTTAGTAGTCAAAGTTCAGATTTAATACAGCTTAGAGATATGGAGCAAGCAGAACCAAGCTATTGCAAAGAGAAGGAAGTAACCAGCCAGATAAACTAATTAAAAGTTTGTGTTAAGGAAAAGAAAAATGTTGACATAAAACAAAGAACTGCAGATGCTGGAGATTTGAAACAAAACAAAGTGCTGGAGAAACTCAGCAGGTATGGCAACATCAGTGGGGAGAAAACAAAGTAACATTTTGTATCCAGTGACCCTTCGTAAGAACAAAAGAACAATTTTGTTCTTATCATTCAATGTAGTCCAATGATATTTTTGATAAACACATACTTGTGTTAAGAAAACACATTTTCCTTTAATACATAAATTGGTCATGTATATTTTGGTTTTGATTACAACAAAAACAAGTATACAACACGTCAGCCTTCCTGCTCCTTTGATGCTGCTTGGCCTGCTGTGTTCATCCAGCTCTACATCTTGTTATCTCATACAATCCAACCGTTACATTTCCACATAGCTGTTGTTGCTTTAATCATATTTCATTTTGAGAACTTATATAAGTACAAAATTTTACATTTTAATGTACAAGTTGTTTCTTTTTAAGAGGAGAGGGTGTGTCGTATATTATAAGATCTGAACATTTTGTTCTATTGCTGTCTCTGCTTCATTCTCAATTTGCGAGCTATGATTAAATTAGTTCAAATATAGTTGCCTGCAGCTGAGCACGTTAGTGTACCTCAGTGCAATATACAAAAAGCCATCCAAAACTTAACTGTCCATATTGTGACTTTTATCAAGTTTTGTTTACTTATTATCTCTGTATTCAGTGACCTATGTTGGCTTTGTTTTATGATGCTTCAATTTCTCTCGTTCTTGTTTACAAAGCCTTTAATTTTCTTTCTCCTCCTTATCTCTATAACATACTCAAGTTCTACAACCCCTTCCTCTCCCAGATCTGAGCTCCTCCAACTCTGACCTTTTTGCACATTTCCGATTTTAATCACTACACCATTGACAGCCATCTATACAGCTGTCTAGGTGCTAAGATCTGAACAGAGTGGACAGAAAGCAGAAATTCCCTAAGTCTGAAAGGTCAATAACAAGATGGTATAATTTTAAAATGAAAGACAGAAGGTTTGGAGGGGTTTTGAAGAAAACCTTTTCATCCAGAGAATAGTGGGGCTCTGGAATACACTACCTGGGAGGGTGGTTAAAATGGGGAATATCATAACCTTTAAAACTTGAATGAGCGCTACAAGTGTCATAACATTCAAGGATATAGGCCTGGTGTGGGAAAGTGGAATAGTATAGGTAGTAGTATATTTCTGGCAGGACAGACCTCGATGAGTAGAAGGGCCACTTCTGGATTGTATGATTCTATGATTTGTAAATCCTTCCCAAAACCTTTATTTCGCCATCATTCCTCCTTTAGAATGCACCTTAAAACCTACCTCTTCGACCAAGGGTGGGTCACCTGCCCTAACATTATGTGATTCAAAGTCAAATTCTGTTTGATTAAAATCCATGAAATATCTGGACTCATTTTAGTATTTTAAAATGATTATAATAAGCTGTGTGCGATCTATGAAAGGATTGACTTTGGAAACTGTACTATTTGGAAAGAACAATGATACCCTCTTATTTTTGAGATATATTGCATTACTTTTCCTTATATTCTGATGACGATAATGTCAGCGTGGTAAATAAATATTAGTATCGTAAATTTTTAACTTGTCCTTTGGACACAGCACTAGCTTTACAGATTGACTGCTCATCATTAAAATTATTGGAATCCCAGGCAAAAAGTTGAAAATCTAATTCAATCTCTTTCCTTCTTTACTGCTGAGCTACATTCTAATTTGCTTTTCCTTAGGATTTTTGCTATTTGCGGATTTTCTTTTTATTCTTTATTTCTCTCTCCTTTTGCTGTTTCTCCAGACAAAATTGATGAAGATTCTTGAGTTGGTAAACTATATCGGTCACCCCTTTAGTGAATTTGTTGACTGCAGATTGACATGTTTCATCCTACATGGCGAACATTTTTCCCCTTGATCAATGCTCCCAAAATCAGATTTACTAGTCATATTCCCACAAACAATTGAGAGATATAGGTGGACAAATTTGCTGCTAGTCTTGCCTATGCAACATTAAGAACAGCATTTGAACTTACCGGTGAAACTCTGAGATGGCTTGAGGATATGCAAGTGGTATAAATACAAAGTTTCATATTATATTTTCTTCCCCACATATCCAGTCATGACATCCAATTTTGTGCATTTAATTATTTACGGGGTCTTGAAACAAGCAAAATAACAAGATGTGTAAATTTTAATTCTTTTATTCTCATTTGCAACAGATCAATGCACAGACTGACACAGATAGATCGATTGGATCTGGGCAGTAATGAATTCACGGAGCTGGTAAGAAATGATGAATAGAAGTTGACTTGTATGGATCAGGTGCTGCTAACTATAGCCAGTGAAATTTTACTGGAGATAAAAACGAAATCCGTTGTATATTGGCCGAGTTCATCCATTCTCTTGATTGTTAGAGACTGGACATACTCCAAAGATATACACCAAGACCCCTCGGAGACCTTGATGCACTGACTAGGTGGGAATTGGCAAGAGAGTTAAACTTCAAACAGGAATTATTCTGCATTAGGAACGGTCAGAAAATTTCTCCAACTCTGAGTTAGTGTCAGATGCTTGAGGGTTCCAACTTGCTTCTCTAGAGAGTTACCCAGAAAATATTAGATTAAAATTGATTGTGACTTCTGGGTAACCATACAACTGACCTTCCCAAATATTACCCCTCCCTAACCCATTCCCCCCCCCGCCATCTAACCCCCTTCCTGCACCCAAAACCCACTCCCAACAATCCTTCCTGAACACCTGATGAAGCCCCCCACCTGACAAACCAAAGCTTTTCTCCCAGGACCAATCCAACTACCCCACTCACCAAAAAACTACTTGCCAATGCAGCTTGTCTATTGTCTCACCTATCTGTTACCTTACCACCTCAGCCCCTTACCCAGCTGCCACCAAACCCTCTTACCTGCTTACCTTGCACACTTTGCTTCTCTACGTAGCTTTTCAAAGAGATTTTATGCATTTTTAGCCATTACCATAAAAAAGGAGCATGCAGTCTACAAAGATTCTCTCCATCACAGTCTTTTAGGATACTGCACTTGGTGACTTTGGAAGGATTCTCCATCGGGAGGTGGGTAGCTATGTAACGTTTTGTCTGATCTGGTTTGGAAATTGGAATTTTGACCCAGATTCGAAGATTTGGACCATTGTAATATAAGGAATAATATTGTAAAGTCTACAGTCTATTGCATGTTTTATGTTCAGCAACTCAGCACTGGATTTTTGCTGAATTACGATGATCAGAGTTATTTAAAAATGGTGGTGGGACTCAATTCAAGGACTCTTTTCCCTATTCCCAGTGTTGGGATTTTTTTTTCCAGTGCTGGAATTTTTGTTTTGCCAGTGCTGAATAAAAGAGCCAGTAATGATCCTATACCCTGCATCTCCTACCTGGCCAGATCCATTGCAGAGTTGGCATTTTCTAGCTTCCTGCAGTTCTCAAGGAATTGTGCTTGCTCCTCTATGATTCATGGTGAAAGCACAGAGCAGTGATGGAACACAGACTGGATTTGGGAACACTTTGAAAGGTAAGTTCAAAGATGCTGATCCATGACCCCAAGTACTCCTCATACACTCCCCAGGCTCTCCATGCCAATTCAATGATATCATTTATCCCTTCCATGCCCATTCATCCAGTATGGATGAATGCACATGACCAATGAGCCATGTAATAACAGTGGCAAAGGGGAACAACTGAGAAAAAAAGGATTTTTAAAAAAACTGCAGTTTATAACTCCATAAAAATGTCCACCAGACAGACTGTTAAATTATGAGTAACCAAGGCTCCAAATATTTCACACTTTTTAATCTTATTCAAAGAAACATTGAGACTTTGACAAAAGAGACCTAAAAAGTCAAGCAAAATCAACAATTCACTTTACTCTTGTGAATTGTCTACAGTTCATTATCCTGTTGAATTTACACTTGCATTGGTCTACGCTCAGTCAAATATATATAATGAGGACATAGCCTTCAATTTTTCAAGTCCTTTAAAAGTGACATTTGGTTGGAATCCCAACATTGTCCTGCCCCCTTCTGGGTTTCATTGGAAATATTTTCTAATCAACCTCTTCAGACATGTTATTACCCACCTCTGGAGCAGGAGGGACCATAGGTTTACCTGGAGTTACTTTAAAATCAACCCATTTGAATATGTTATTACACATTACAGGTAGGTTGGATTTGAATCCAGGCCTTCTGACTCAAAGCCGGGACTCTACCACTGTACTACAAAAGCTCCCCTGGGTTTAATTGGACAGAATTGAAGACAAGTGGGAGACCCCTTGAATCAATTAGGAAATCAACTGAGATACTCAAAATGCTAATTAAGTAATGTGCTAACCATCAATTTGGCTTTAACTACTGGGAACCTGTTTTAGAAGATAAGAACATAAGAACTAGGAGCAGGAGTAGGCTGTCTGGCCCTTCGAGCCTGCTCCGCCATTCAATAAGATCATGGCTGATCTTTTTGTGGACTCAGATCCACTTACCCGCATTCTCACCGTATCCCTTAATTCCTTTATTGTTCAAAAAAAATCTACCTTTTTTTTAAAAACGTTTACTGAAGTAGCATCAACTACTTCACTGGGCAAGGAATTCCATAGATTAACAACCCTCTGGGTGAAGAAATTCCTTCTCAGTTCAGTCCTAAATCTGCCCCCTCTAATCTTGAGGCTATGCCCTCTTGTCCTA